TCTTTTCCTAATTTCTTATTCAGATAGAAGTTGATTTATTCTTTCTCATGGTAGGTTTTTATTGATGGTATTCCGTCAACGGACACTGACTATCTTTTATAGACAATTAATGATGGTTGTAGTAGTTCTCCATGTTTCAGCTGCGGACAGTGGAACTGTCTTGACATTCATCTTGAAGATTCTAACTTTGATATTGGTTGACAATTATTTTAAGTTCCATATGTTCTGGAATTGTAAGAACGATACATTTACTTTGCCAATCCTCGCCTTTACGTTTGCATCCGATGCTCCTTGTTCCATAATAACAGTTCATTTCTAACTATTTTAAAATATTATCAGAAGTAGTTTGTGGAGATTTTAGAAATTTTACAGATTGAAATCATGAGTCAATTGAAGCTAGACTATCACGGAAAACCTGGAAGTACTGGACGGCCGTTTCTTCGTAGTACGGGACTCTTCAACAGTGCGCATCCACGATCCCTCATCCCGCCTAATGAGATTCGAACTCAGGACCTATCGGTCTCGCGTCAAGCGCTTAACCAACTATTCTAAAATATTAAAAAAATGTTTTCCAACAGTGTTTAACTGTCACTGATCTACATTTCTAGTTATTTCCGACGACTCGTACACACACCCACACACACATATACACACACGCAACATAAAATGTTTAGTGTATGTAAGTATCTGTGGTTACGCCAAACAAACAAATAAATAGACGAAAATAAAACGTGACAAAAAAAGAAAAAAAGTCTATACTAACCCCTATGATATTTCTATTTTAATCTTACAATATATAACATCATAATACATTTTGATTGTTATTACAAAACAGTTGTCATCTATATTATGAATTACATAATTATGTTGTTAACAAAATGAAATAGTAAAGCTTATTACAATTGATTAATAAGTTGGCTAAGCATTTCTGAAATAGACTTATTTATTATGTAAGAGATTTCACTGGTTTAAATCATGAGTCATTTGAAGCTAGACCATTATGGAAAAATCTGGAAGCACTGGACGGTCGTTTCGTCCTAATATGGGACTCCTCAGCAGTGCACATCCACGATCCCGTTCTCATGATTCGAACCCAGGGCCGTCGGTCTCACACGCGGACGCCTCATTTCTAAACCACTGAGCCTGCCAGCATCTAACACTGTTAATGTCTAACCTCAACCAATCCACCAAACTGCGCGATCATCTTTTATTGTACTGATGTAGACACCTGTCTCTACCTGACATGGATTAGATCCACTGGTCACGGCTTCTCACTAGAACTCCGAGAATTTTCTAACGAAGCTAGTGTCTAGTGAGCACATGGTAATTATCGGTATAGGGTTGTGGAGATTGTTAAGTTTTTGACTGAGATAGGACGAAACGGACATCCAGTGCTTCCAGGTTTTCAATTGTGGTCTAACATTAATCGGTTCATGATCTGAATTAAAAGGATTAATTTTAGTAGTTGAGATCATGAGTCAATTGAATCTACGATCCCAGCTCATGAGATTTAAACCTAGGATTTATCAGTGGTTCCAGGTTTTCCATAGTGGTCTAACTTCATGATCTCAACTATTAAAATTACTATAATATCCAAAAAATCCCTTTCTAATATTAAAAGGATTATTTGCAATTATTGATGAGCTTTGAATATTGATGCTATGGGTTTTCCGAAGTTTTGAAAGGTGGAAGAAAAATATCTTCTTTACCATTTATGTTTTTTATAAACTTTAAATTAATGCCAATATAGTAAGTGTACTGGTTACTGTCTCTATAGTGTATATATGCAATACAAACAATGGGCTTTGATTAAGACTTATCCGTAAAGTGTATCACTGAAACTGAAATATTTCTAACAATGTCAGATTACTCATTTTGTACATAATTTGTAACAACAGACCGTGGAGAAGATTTGTAGCTTAGGTAGATGATTTTTATCGATGGACAATCGAACCATTCAGCTCAGAGTGCAACAATAGATTCATATTACCCTCTTCAAACATATCTATAACAATTTCGATGTACATTTCTGGTTGTACCTGTTTGGACTAGAGTTCTTTATGAAACTTTGAAATTATTTCTATTTTAATCAATGACATTATGAGGAATTTTGGCTTGAAATACTGTGTATACCTGTCATTACTTACTGGATAGCGTTTTTTTTAATGAGCTAGTTTTTTATGGGATGGGGTCGTTAATCTCATGCTCAACCCTTCTCCTTTATCCGGGCTTGGGACCGGCAATAGCCGAAGAGGGGCTCCAGGTGGGGCATGCCCGTCATATCACCACTTTTTTCCGCTCAATATGAGGAATATATTTCAACTGCTGTATGGATCCTCATAGTATTACAATGAGTTTACGTTTAATAGTATTTATTTTTGAAAATTTAGCTCTCATACTCTTTGTGATCATAGTTCATTTCACCTTCACTCTTTCATCTTTCTACGATATCTATCCTTTATTTCACGATCTTCAGTCGTTATCGATCTTTCTGATATACACACTCGAGATCATAAAAACTACCATTTGAGTTTCTTAATAAGAACAACATTTTTGTGTATTTATTTAGTCTACCAGTTACTATGTTGAAAAAATCTGTTATTATTTATCGTCATAGTTTAAATCACAAACTAATCTTATCTAGACCAGCACTGAAAACCTGGTACCACTAGACAATCGTTTCACACAGTACTCTCCATCAGTGCTCATTCACAACTTCAACATCAGTAATCGCACCCAAGACCTTCGGTCTCTTGCCAAAATCTTAACTTGCAGATTACTGAGTCAATACCCAATGGTGTAAAAGTTTAACTTAAATTAATTCACGATACTGTACAATCCTTATACTTTGTTTGAAATGGAAAACAGTCTTACATCCAACAAGACTGAACTCCGCTGGTCACATCTCACTTCATCTCCCGAAGTTGTATAATCAGTGTTAGTCTAGATAAGATTAATTTATGATTTTATTTATGAGGATTCTACAATTATTTTTGTGGATATTATAGTATTTTAATAATTGAGTTCATGAGTTAATTGAAAGTAGACCATCATGAAAAACCTAGAAGCATTAGACGGCCGTTTCGTTCTAGTTTGAGACTTCTAAGCAGTGCGCATCCACGATTCCGCCTCGCGAGATTCGGACCCAGGACCTATTGGTCTCGCAAATAAACGCCTAGACTCTAGACCAATGAACGGACCGTCATCCAACGGTAGTCGAAAAACAGGTTAAACAGTGTACTTTTTTTCATTCTAATCCCTAACAGTGAATAACTACTGTCTTATTCCAAACAAAAAAGTGATTAAATCTAGTTTAATCAGATAACCTAAAAATAGAAATAAAAAGATAACTGTCTTGTTCAATTTAATAGTCTAAATAAATGAGAAATCTTTTAAAAAAGACAAGAAAAATCGATAGAGACAACAGTTGTCTAAGACTTTCTAGGACTTCAGCAATTCATGATAGAATTCCTCTATTAAGTTGAAGTTATTCTAACCTACACAAATTATTAGATGTTTGTTTAAATAGTCGGAAATTTTAGTAAAAAAACCTTGTAAATGATCAATTATTCAAATGAAGTATTCTATTAGATACTATACAAAACAATCAAATAACTGTTATGTAATTAAAATAAGCCTGAATTGAAATAACCATCCTGATATGAGGTTCCTCAGAAGTGTCATGGATAGTTTTTAGTAGGGCCTTTTGTTTTGTCGTCATTTTGATCGGGCGATGTTTGTTGACGGGCTCATCACTTTAGTGGCCTGGGATCTGACTCTAATTAGATAGTATGAATGATTGTTATTGAAATATATATGTCACCTATCCTTGTATATAATCATCGACTTAAATCGCGTTAGTCAATAAGTAGAATTATGTAAAGAATGTGAAACTCAATACATTATCATATGATATTTTCGGATGTATATTCAACTAAGAACTGATAGCGGTAACACAGTAATTGTTTACTGAATTTCGCCTTAGCAGTAATACAAACGACTTCATAGGCTTCTTTATTGTTTCATTTGTTCTTTTATTCATGTTGACTTTGCCATTTGTTTGACTTCTGATCATATAATTAGCTTAATTTTATAAATACTTCAGTCAAGTTTATAAACATTAATTTGAAAACATAAATGTTGGGCAAGGGGGCATCAAGCATATATAAGTCAAACAATAACAATGTGGCTAGTAGTGATTATTGATTTGTGTGAGAGCTATCATGCTGCCAAGGTGACCAAACCGAACCAGGTGGTTTTCTTAGGTTAGGAGATCACACCACAACTCTTTCACCTAAACGTCTAATCCACAAGACAGTACAGAAACGTAGGGAGTTCCAGACTCATGGTAGCTGGAGAACAACAATAGGTTCATATGCCATTTATTCCCTCAACATCATGGAGACCATTTGTACCATTCGTTTGAAATCAGGGTATTCCAACTCCCTTAAATAGATCCTCTATATCCACCAACCCAATTAAGGCACCGGATATTCGCTTTTCATCCTCTTAATTTCGTAAATAACATTCCCATTGCGAGAATGTAGTGAGTAGGACTTCCCTATCAGTGGTTATATACACGTGTTCATGTGAGAGCATTTCGAGAAAGGGAGAGCTGATTCTCCTCACTCTCGGCCGTACCAGGGCATTTGAGGGCATATAACCACCATCTATAAAGTTTGAGCGACGCTACGGTGATCTTGAGAGTGTTCACCTAATAAATAGGACCAAATGTGGGTTATAAACCACTGTGGAGAATTAGAATTACGATTAACAGTTGATGGTTAAGGTTAAGAACTAGATTTAAAGTTTCCATCAGGAACTGACATACCAAAACGCTGTCCAACACCTTTTATCTTACACCTGATTCGTCCATAAATTATAATCTCTCCGCTTTACAATAAATACTGTGCTCTAAAAACTATGTACGTGTTCTTAATTAAAAAAAAACACTTGCTTATCTCAGATACAATACAATTTTTGTGTTTATTTAACTTTAGGTGGAAACATGTGAATTAATGATGGACAAAGCAACAAGTCGTCATCGAGGTTAGTTTTGTTTTAATTAATGGTATGAGTCGTTTTCTTTTTCAATATTGTCAAATTACTCAAGAAAATTCATTTATGACAGGATACCTATCCTGATCTAGTATAGAACTTATCCGTAATGAACAGCTACAACCCAGGAGATGATGACAGAATCAGAGACTATAATGCGTAGATCGTTAGTTTTGGTAATGTAATAATGAAGTTTCATGATCTTCATATCAATTCTAAGTCATGGTATGGCTAAAAAGAGATTTGAATAGATATACTCTACATTTCTATCTCATTCAAATTCAGCTATATATATAGATAGCTCTATATGTTTATCAATGTTATTCTAATTCTAACTACTCATTATACTACTGAATTATACTTAAACGATTAATCATAAACCGAAAGAAAAAAGAAAGATGAAAAATAATGAAAAGAAATACCAAAAAAAGCAAAAAAGGAGGTCAGTTGAAACCAAAGGGGTCACAAATTGTTATTAACAAACAAAAAGAACAACTAGCTATCAGGCACAAGGACAAATAACAATGATAAGACATATTATATTGGATAGAATTCCACATAGATCAAAGTTATGTAAAATACAACTTGATAACTTATTAATTATGCGTTTTTGTTTCTTTTTTTGCTTTTTAAAACTAAAAAAAGGGCGGTAATTAGGGTACAACAAAAAAACGACGACAAGTAAGGAAAAATGTAATCACGACAATTGTTTATGACTGATTGAAGGAAGTGAACTTTTGACCTATAACCTGAAGGTAGAATATTTTCTATTCACTCATATTGAACAGTTGGATAGATAGATAGATAGATTGTTGAAAGTAGTCAGTATTGCTTTAAACAGTTTGAAGATAATACGTGGGTAGTTAAGGCGAAACCCCCCCCCCCAAAAAAAGGGCATGAATACATGAAGATTTTGTTTTTATTCAAGCAGAAATATGAACAATAAACAGTTTATGGTAATCAAGATTGACCGCTAATCTAGAATATTTTAAGCGATTTAAAATGCTGACAGGATGGTGGCTAGGACTACATTTTTTCCTATTTAGGAATCGTTGGCTAGATGTAAATACATGTGTTGATGTTTACTCCCATACTCGAACTCAGTACCATTCACTGTAAACCTTATCGTGTTATCCACTTGGCTACAATATGAAAATGAATTGAAACTTTACTCCATTGCACAAGCTAATGGCTATTTGAATTCAGTAGTTAAGTGGATAATGTGATGATGTTTACAGTGAACGGTACTAGTTTTGTGTTTCGGAATGAATACCAACCCTGAGATGCAAATACATCCTAGTGATAAGTCTCAAAATAGGATTAAACACTAGTCTTATATTCTACTATTAGTCACCATCTATCTCTGCTTAAATTCAAAAACTGTTGAAAATTAACACACAAATGGATTCTTATTGAAATTGAATTAAAAAAATAAACAGTATTAAGTCACTTGTTCACAACCTTTCTACAGGACTTCACTATGACATTCTAGAGCAGACTAGAAGGTAATTTTTAGTTTTATATACGAACTATTGACTTAGTGATTATTTTACCCGTCTTATAAAATTGTAGCTGGTATATTCCAGTAAATGTACTGCAACTTGAGTTTTGGATACCCAAATATTATCACTAGTGCTTACACAAACGATTACAGTCAAAATTGATTTACATAAAACCTGTATTCAATAAACTACTTATATTAAAGTTTATGAAAGTAATGTAATAACCAAATATAATCACTATCTATAAGAAATAGAAAATTTAATAAGTTTCAAATACAACCATATATTTATCTAGAACCGTTGTTGCTAACTAGTTTTCAATAATAATTATTGTCGTTATGTAATGTCACTTCCATCAGAAGGTTTTTGTGAAGGTTATTCAACTTGAAGTTGACATACAGGAAGATCAGGTAAAACAGGAAAAGCTCTTATATTATAGTATGTGAAACAGCATGGTACAGTCACGAACCTATTAGGTATGTGACCCAAAAACACTTAAGCTACTACTGGAGCACTCAATTCTATGGTCAATGTTTTAGCTTTCACTAGTTTATATTTTCAACTGCATGTAGTCACCCACATTAGTACCAGTATCACACCTCACATGACTGAACTCCATTGATTATGGCTTCTTAGTAAAATTCTAGGAATTCCTTTTTCCATGTGAGTTCTAACAGTTACATGAAATTCACTTAGTATTATTTACTTGAATCTCCCCATTGACATTTAGGACTGCAATTGATTAGTCTCTTAGTGGTATATGTGTCTACTGTGAGTATTGCCTCGATATTACCTTAATTCATAAGCATTCTAAGCAACGATGGATAGTGGCTAACAGTGAAATCCAGGAGGCGCGTTTCGTCCCAATTGGGCTATCAGGACTTAGTAGTTAAGTGGATAACGTGATGGCATTTGAAGGGACCGGTACTGAGTTTGAGTCCCAGAGTGAACATGATCTCTGAGATGCAGGTACATCCAACTAACGAGACCCAAATAGGACAAAACACGCGTCCTGGATTTTACAGATAACCAATATCCATGTTTGCTCACTATTACATGAAATGTTTGGTGAAGATAGTTAGTTATTCATCAGCTCATACAAAATCAAGGAAAAAAAATGTATCAAACAGACGTCACTTAAACAAAACTTGAGGTTTATACTTATAAACGTTCATGTGATTGTAGACAAACAAAAAAACGTACTCATGAATCTTTAGTACTATTCCTGTTTATCTCAATTTTCATGATCCAAAACATTTTACTTGGTCCATAGTAACAATGGCTAATCTTTTGTTCAATTTTTACTGTAATACATTCATTATTCTGATTAGAATTATACCTATCATATAGGATGAGATAAAAAAGAAGTAAAACAACCTAAAAAATGATACAAAACCGGAAGTATATATAATTCAGTACTGATTAATCTAACACTGAGATGTGTTCTCTCTCTTTGTAGTTACATTACAATTTTTGTACATTATTCAGCTAATTTTGTTTTGCCAAACTATGTATCGTATAAAATTGTCTACTATATTTCCAAAAGCTCTTTATAAAACCTAAGAAATTGCCCCCGAATGCCTTGGTACGGCCGAGAGTGAGGAGAATCAGCTCTCCCTTTCTCGAAATGCTCTCACATGAACACGTGTATATAACCACTGATAGGGAAGTCCTACTCACTACATTCTCGCAATGGGAATGTTATTTACGAAATTAAGAGGATGAAAAGCGAATATCCGGTGCCTTAATTGGGTTGGTGGATATAGAGGATCTATTTAAGGGAGTTGGAATACCCTGATTTCAAACGAATGGTACAAATGGTCTCCATGATGTTGAGGGAATAAATGGCATATGAACCTATTGTTGGTCACCATCTACCATGTGTCTGCAACTCCTTACGTTGTCCCACTTCCTTGTGAATTAGGCGTTTAGGTGAAAGAGTTGGTGTGTGATCTTCTAACCTAAGAAAACCACCTGGTTCGTTTCAGTCATTCGGGCAGTAGCACATCCCTCGCACAAATCAGTGATAACTACTACTAACCTCATTGTTATTGTGTTTGGTGCCTCTTTGTATGAACGTTTATGTGTTCAAATGAATGATCAATTCATATATACAATTGATGAATACTACTACTACTACTTATCATAAAATTTCATTAAATTAATCAATTACAATATTTTACAATTGTTCATTGTCCCTTTCAATCAGTCTATATTCAACTATGAAATACTCATTAGGTGGAGTTAGTTCGTTGTTTGTTTGTTTGTTGGAGTTATTTTAAGATTTAAGATTAGTGTTGATACATTTTTTTGAAGTTGAAGTACAATTCACACACACACATGCACACACGAACACACGCAAGCGTACATACCCATAGATAAACAACTCGAAATTCATCATCATTTAACTTGTGTCTCCATATTTTGTTTCTAACGGGTTTACCTTGACCTCATATTTATTGCATAAATAAAAAATTTTTTTGTTGAAATATATAAATCAGTTTATTTAAACAAACAAAAAACTATTTGAACTAGTATCCATGGTATTAATATCAAATCACTTTATTGTACATTAAATTTTTGAACAAATACTGGACTATATGTATAGGGTTGTGGAGATGTTATAACGCTCGTGTTTTACTTTGTCTAATGTTATAACGGTTAGGTTTCCATGTTTACACATATGGGACTTAATTTACTATAGACGAATATCTACACTAGATTCCCTCTCCCAGTGTCTATTCTACAGGACTTCAACACAACTCAAATCAAGAAAATGTAATTAGCCTGACCACAACGTAGAGTTATTTCCACACCAAATACGCCCTCAAATGCCCTGGTATGGCCGAGAGTAGGGAAGGTCCGCTCTCCCTCTCGAGATGCTCTCACATGGCCACGCGTATATAGCCTCTGCCAGGGAAGTTCTACTCACTGCCTTCTCGTGACAGCGGTGTTGTTTACGAAATTGAGAGGACGAAAAGCGAATGTCCAGCGTTTCAACCGGGTTGGTGAACATGGAGAGTCCATCTAGGGGAGTTGGGAAACCCTGATTCAAAACACCATGGTGCACATGGGCTCCAGTATCCTGAGGAAACAAATGACTTATGAGTCAATCGTTGGTCACCGGCTACCATGGGACTGCACCACCTTATGATGCTCCACTGCCTCATGGATCAGACCTTTAGGTCGAAGGCTCCGGGTGTGGCTCCCTAAGAAAACCACCTGCTTCGGTTTGGGCACCTGGGCAGTATCACAGCCCTCAGACATATCAAATGAGATTTGTGTGGCGCATATGTATTTGGTGCCTCCTTGTACCAATATCTGTGTGTTAAAATCAAATAAATAAAACAAAATGCCCGACACAATCCAACAGCAATGAACAATCAATAATAAGTGAGTCATATTAATAATAAGGATAAGGGAGTATATAACTCAGCTGACATTCGTCAGACTATCTACATATCTAACTGAGCAGATAACCAATCATTATCATTCACGCCTACACATCAGGAGATTATTAAGTTGTTTTTTTTATTGAGATCATGAACCGGTTGGTGTTAGACCACTATTGAAAATCTGGAAGCACTGAACGGCCGTTTCGTCCTATTGTGATACTAATACTAACACCGTTGGATGACCACTCAGTGGTCTAGAGTTTAAGCGTTCGCGCGCTAAACTGATAGGTCCTGGATTCGAATCCCGCGATCGGAATCGTAGATGCGTACTGCTCAGGAGTCGCACGATAGGAAGAAACGGCCGTTCAGCATTTCCAAGTTTTCCAATGGTGGTCTAGCTTTAATCGATTCATGAATTCAATCCCTAAAATTACTAAAATCTCTATAAAAACCCCTTTCTGATTAATTACGTAGATGTATTAATCATTACAAAATACAATGTGATGAATAATCGTCCACTTTAGGAGATGATATTTACATGAGTTGATAGTTATTCATGTTACTGTCTGTATGTATATACAATCCATGTATATGAAACTCTCAACTAAATAGAAAATACATTCATTTCCGTGTTTTGAGGACCGGATATTAACGACTGATAATTTAACAGTTGTCAGTAGTATTGTAATGAACGAGAATATAAGTGGGGATAATCGATTGTATTTGAACAAAACATTGCATAATCACTTAGTAAAATATGAGAATTATTCAGCAAATACTCCATTTGCAAAATATCAATCAATTGTCTCAGACTTCATTGTTCCTTCATTCCCACACTAATCATTGTCTGTTCATTCTCAGCTTTGCGTTGACAGACATTTCACTCTCGATTAATAATATATACTACTTATATTATCTGTCGACATCAATAGTACAAATCACAGTATGACTGCTCTCATTTGTAGTCTATCTCTTGAGTTCTTAAAATACTTACGTTTCCATTCTTTGTTTTGCTTTTAAATTACTTTATCCTTTCAACGTGTTCGCTCTAAGTCTATCGATTAGCAAGGAATTCGTTTCTATCTTTGTTAAACCAGTCAGTACGGTTAGCTATGCTTAAAAGGAATTGATATAAAACACGAAAAATAAGGGTATATTAGTATAAGTTGTAGAGATAGTCAAACTTTCATTAAAATCATAAATCAATTTAAGTTAGATAACCACTATAAATCTGGAAGCATTAGAAAGCCATTTCAATGGTTGCTTAACTTAGATGAGTTTGCGATTTATTATTACTAATGGCTTTATTCATCACTTACCTTACTAACTACCTTCAGCACTCTCTGCAACACACCAAATTCTTTTCTCAGAAGCCCGTGAAAGAATAATGAGTAACAGGAAAGAGGGGCGGCCAGGCCAAAACATGACACAAGTTCATGAAGTCACTGACAAGTGAACTGAGACATGTTGGTAGGTGTAGACCACATGGTTGGAAACAGCGAGATGATTACAATTGATGATTAGAAACCCTGAATGAAATGGCTCAAAATCGTTTATAATGGCGCACGTGCATACACTCTTTGTGTTCTCCCAAATTCTAATCTTCTGAATTCTTCATGTCCCTTATTTTCTTTCCAAATTTATTTTACTGTATTATACTCCTTGAATAACATCTTCAAGCCCTAATGTTTCCGATTACTACTTATACTCTTACTACCTCTGTCACTATGGGATTTGAGTCGACAACTGTATCTCTGTGCTAATGTGGTGTGGCAACTCGAACTGATGTAAGTACGTACGAAGTTCCTCGTTGTTACTGACTGACTGACTAACTGTAAAAAGGTATGATGTATCTACTCAGTTCAGTTAAATTTTATAAAAAAAAGCATATTCTCCAGTTTTCGGATAATTATCCATTGGATTTTTATTATTCAAATTTATCTGATTGCAAAACTACAAATTTATCTGTATGTATTTATAGTTATATACAAATAGATGTTAATCTAAGTCTGTAAACTGGATCAAATATTTGCTGAAAAGTTTAGTATTGACATCTTTAACTGCTAGAATTAACTATACTAGTTTTGGCAAGTGATAGAAAATCTTGATGTTGTAACGTATGGATTTCAGGTTAGATGCGCAGCGTTTTATCGATCGATTACAGTGACACGGAAAACACCTAGTGAACGACCTAGTCCCCTGATTGGTCCCGCTTCCCTGTCTAACCCAACCAGTTGAGTCCAGAATGCAAGTCACAGCCTCTGAGATATGAATCGTTATATTTCAAACATACTCTGTTTATATACAAACCAAACAGACCACATCGTAACATAAAAATAGAAAACAACATTTACACAATATTTAACAAGTGAAATAAATACCGACCAATAGGGAGTGTACATTTAACGTCCAAGGACACCATTAGACTTGACACGATAATTATTGGTATATTCCTCTGCATACCTAACACTTGACTAACCTTGATCAAAGATATCGTTACTCTCTTCTAATTCAGTGATACTATTCTTTAGTATGATAGTCCTTGGTCTTCCAATACCGATTTCAAGGGTATTATTTCAGAGCTTTTAAATAGTATAAAGTACATTTTCAATGCAATATACCCATCATTTGACAATAATGTTTCATTTTTCAAAGTTGAGATCATGAGCTAATTGAAGCTGGACCACCATGAAAAACCTGGAAACACTGGAAGGTCGTTTCATCCTACTGTGGGACTCCTCAGCAGTTCGCATTCATGATCCATTAACACCACAGGATGCCGGCTCAGTGGCCTGATGTTCAGGCGCTGGCGAGCAAGACTGATAAGTCCTGGGTTCGAATCTCGTGAGGTGGGGTGGTGGATGCGGATTCCTGAGTAGTCCCATAGTAGGACGAAACGGCTGTTCAGTGCTTACAGATTTTCCATGGTGGCCTAGCTTCAATTGACTCATGATCTCAATTATTAAAATTACTATAATATCCACAAAAACTCTTCTGATAATAATCTTTATTTCTAAACGTTTCTACGGACCACATAAATCAACAAAATATGATTTTATATTTAAGCTTATCTTTTATTACATTTCAACAATTAAAAACATTCGTCACTGTTGCTCAAGGTGTTCTTACGTCTGGGAACCTTGAGGTTTAGGTTCCGAACAACTTATTTTCGATATGGGATTGGTGGATGAGTTAAGTATGCGTTGACTGCTCAAATTAACTACTAAAGTTTCCCCCAATACCCGGCATCTTCATGTGGAGGTTTTCATATTATGTAATCTGCCTCTAGAAAAAAGAACTACATAATTTGCATATTCCAATCTAACAAGAGAGTTATCATCATAAAAGAAACGGTTAATCAATGATAATCCATTAAAACGCTTATGTAATCATACTGGATTTTTGTTTTTGATTGAGATTATAAACCCATTCATTTTAGACCACAATTGAAAACCCGGGAGCACTGCATGGCAGTTTCGTCCTGTTGTGAAACTCCTCAGCAGTGTGCATCCACTGTCCCAATCTCGGTATTCGAACCCAGGTCTTTCAGCCTTGAGCACGAACGCTTAACCTACTTGACCACTGAGCCGACATCTAATGGTGTTAATGTCTAACATCAACCAATTCACGAAATTGCGCGACCATCTTCCATTGTACTGAGATAGATACCTATCTCTACCCGACGAAACGGCCGTTCAGTGTTTCCAGGTTTTCAACGGTAGTCTAACATCGATCGGTTCATGATCTCAACCAAAAACTTAATAATCTCCATAACCCCTATACTGATAGATTTTTATTATTTAATCATTTAATTGTTGGCCATTTTCTCATTTATTGTTTTTTAGGTTTTGGATTTGTTACATTTGAAAGTGAACAAGCAGCTGAAAAAGTTTGCTCAATTCATTATCATGAATTAAATGGGAAAATGGTAAGTATATAACTTTAATAGTTACATAATAGTATTCTTTTTATTATTAATGAACTTTAAACTATATGAAATAATACCATAAGTATCAAACCTCGATAACTCCGCCTTTAGCTCTTCTAGAGTTACTGCCGGTCCCAAGCTCGGGTAAAGGAGGTTGTTATAAATCAATATCAAAGATAGATAGTGGTTAGTAGCGGAATCCAAAAATGCGGGTTTCATCCTATTTCGGATTCGTCAGCTGGATGTACTTGAATATAAGAGTTGATATTCACTCTAAGACTCGAACCCAGTACTGTTCGCCTCAAACACCATCATGTTATCTGTTTATCTACTGAGTCCTGTTAACCATTAGATTATGCAATGGGATGAAGTTTAAATTCACTTGATGTGGTTTAATTGAATCTTCCGATTGGTGTTTAGGACTGTAATTGATTAGTCTCTTATTGGTATATGTGTATACTGTGTTTATTACCAATTAAGTTTATGTCCAATGTGATTAGTGTTTCATTTCACTTAGCAACAATTGATGAGGTTAGTTACAAATTCACTGAAATTTTAAATTAATTTAATCTTTAAATTGAATAAACCACTTCCTCGTTTATTTAAATTCACATGTCAAATTGTCAGAATACTGTTGATTGATTGAATCTCAAAAAGGTTTAATACATTTACTGGTTTACCTAACTATTAATTTATGAAATTGAATTAACTTCCAGTTTCCGCTTGACATACATTAGATTTTACTGAAACATAAAGCGAATAATGAGAAAAAACCAAGGTTCAGTTCATAAGTCGATAAAGGTCGATGATCATGAAAAATCTGGAAGCACTGGATGGCCGTTTTGTTCTAATATAGGACACTTCAGTAATGTACATCCATAATCTCACATGCGGAATTCCAACCCAGGATTTTTGATCTCGTGTAAGAACGCTTAACCTCTAAACCACTGAGCTGGCCAACATACAACGGTGTTAATGATGTCTAACTTCAACCAATACACGAAATTGCACCACTATCCGACTGATTATCTTATTTGGATTTTATTTTTGGTTAAACTAATCAGGCAATTTAGTAGTCGTAATTAATTAACATCCAGAAGTAGAAGTTCGATTGGGATTAGTGCATTTAAATAAATTCAGTTCATACATAAAAACCTTCCATTAGAACATTCATTCAATCTATATATTAGATTGAATGTAAATCTCTTACACAAACACTGTGTATAATCATATGATTGTACACATGATTAGGAATTATAAGGATGTTCTTAAGTTTTGTATACCTTTTGCTTTTGCCGAAATAACATAAATTTCATAACAGTAAAACTAGCTAATTTCAGTATATTTATCTTAGAGTTCTTCTGAACTAATTCGATTTCAACAAGACTTATTTACTTACATACTTATTTACGCCTGTTACTACTCGTGGAGGAGCATAGGCCGGCCAATAGAATTCTTCATCCAACCATGTCCTAGACAATCCTTTCTTGAGGGGTCACACACAGAGCCGTCAACCTGAATGTCTGATCCACAAGGAAGTGGAGCAACGTCAAGGGACGTAGTCCCATGGTAGTCGGTGACCAACAATACACCATTTGTTCCCTCAGGATCCTGGAGCCTGTGAGCACTATTAGTTTGGAATCAGGGTTTTCCAACTCCCCTAGTTCGATTCTTTATAACCACCCACCAGGTTAAAGTACCGGACATTCGGTTTTCGTCCGTTCAGTCTCGTAAACAACATCCCAGTCGTGAGAAGGCAGTAAGTAATACTTCCCTGTCAGTGGTTGTATGCATGTGGCCATGTGAGATCATTTCTCCCCACCTTCAGCCATACCACAGCATAAACTAAGCCAATCTCTACGATCTCATCAATTATACGATATTCGTATTATTCACTAATAATCATTTTGTAGTCAAGTGAAAGTTTCGTTATTGGCTTAATAATTACGTAATTCCTTAAATAAATCAATAATATTTCAAGTATTTTATTCAAACATTTGACATTTTCTAAATGTAGTTTAATTGGTAATATATTGAAATAGACAATAGATTTGTTTAGAATGGTATTGTTTACATGGATAGTTACATAATAAACATAAAATATATACATATGGATGACAAACAATCTTTATCATTTCTATCATTGATCAGTTGAATTTCTTATGTGCTTTGTTGTGTTTAAATAACAAATTCAAATATAATTGTCATTAGAGATTTTATTAAAGATAATAAAATCTTATTCAATATAAATGTAATATAATTTAGAAATGATAATTTGTTAACTAATCACTAGTTAATTGAACACAATTTGATTGAAACAGTTACCCATCGAAGATCATGGAAGATAGTCAGACAATATATTGTAAATTGGTTGAAGTTAGACATTAACACAATGGAGTGGCAGCTCAGTAGTTCATAGATTAAACGTTTGCTCGTGAGACCAAAGGACATAGGTTCAAATTCCGCGTGAGTAATCATGAATGTGCACATACTAAGGAGTCTCATATGAGGACAAAACAATCATCCACTGCTTTCATCATTTCAATCAAAACTCAACAATCTTCACAACCTCTATAATAACAATACTTATTCTATATGAAATTAGTTCATCTACATTATATACATGGAATAGTTCAGCTTAAATTACATATTTACAACAGAACTACATAAATCTAATTTTATCTTTTATTGTATTTACATAAAAAGTTGAAAATTTGTCTAGAAAGAAAACGACGCCTTTTCCTAATCCAAAAATAAAGAGGTTTTATCCCAGTTACTATAACTAGGTGACATAAATTGTTAGTAGTATATTGTTGTTTACTTAAATGACACTTAATTTGATTGACTTATAAAGTGTTTATTTGTTTACTACAGTGATTATACTCAAACGGATTAATATAATTAAGCGAATCATCATTTAAAAACAATTTAATGTATATTCGATATACTTGAATTCATGAGTGATAGGTAGTTGCTAGCGATGGAATCTAGGAAGTGCATTTCTTCCTATTTCGGACTCGTCAGCTGGATATGCTTGCATCTCAGAGTTGATGTTCACATTGAAATTTGAAATCATAACCATTTGCTTCAAACTTCATCGCGCTATCGACTTAGCTACTGAGTCCTGATAGCAACCTGATTGTTCAATGGGTTTAAGTTTAAATTTACTTGATATCGCTTACTTGAATCTTCCCATTGATATATAGTACTTTGATTGATGAATCTCCTGTTTGCATATATGCATAATTTGCGTTTTGCCTTGATATTGCTTTAATTGGGTACTATTTTCGAGTCCCAGAGTGAATATTAACTTTGAGATTCATGTACATCCGTCTGACGAGTCCCAAATAAGGCGAAACACATTTTCTGTATTTCATCGTTAGCCACTATCCATCTTTGTTTATAATGCTTGTGAATTAAGGCAATATCGAAGCATTTCTTACATTATGCACATATACCAACAAGAAACTGATCATTTGCAATCCTAAACAACAATCGGAAGATACAAGCAGAAGGCATCCATGATCCTGCCTCGAGAGATTCTAATCCAGGACCTATCTGTCTCGTGAGTGAACGCTTAACTTTTAAACCACTGAGCTAGCCGTCATCCAACGGTGTTAATGATATTTAACTTCAACGAATCCATGTTATTGAGCGACACATCCAACATTGTCTTCAGTGAGTTAGATCATTATGGAAAACCTAGAAACACTGGACGACTATTTTGTCCTAATATGGGAATGTTCAGAGATAGGTATCCAAGATCCCGCCTCACGAGATGTGAACCCAAGACTTTTGGTCTATAATCTCATATACAATAGGTTACTTTTATGCTATTAAATTAGAGTTATTGTTTTATTGGTAAAAGAATGGGACAATTGTCACAAGTTATTCACATGCGACTGTTTCAAGATTCACTATCCTAAGTTTCTTTATAATAACTGCCACCTAATATTAATTATTTAAAATAGTCAGTATAATTTTTTTTAAAGCCTGATCTCGATTTACTATTCTACATTGACTTAGTTCAAACTTGAATTATAACCTCTGGTTACTAGTGAAAAACTTTCGATATGATTCTTTCAGTAAACTTAAATTGAACTTCGACTTACCTTCTACAAAACCCTGCCTAATAGTAACGGAGTTGAATATGAACTCTTGAGGTTCATATGAGAAGTCATGAGTAGTGAAGATAATATATAGTGGTTATTGACTAATGTCATTAGACTGTCTCATGATCTGATATGAACTAGTTTTAGTCAATCCATTAGGATAAATGTAATATATTTGCCACAAGATCTAGCTGTGGTGCTTTCAATCATTGACAGATTTATGAATATTTGTTGCTGAGGAGTCTCATGAAAAAAGTAAACATCAGTATAGTGTTGTGGAGACTGATGTCGCTCAACTTCGTAGATTGGTTGAGGTTAAACATTAACACCGTTGGATGGTGGCCGGCTCAGTGGTTTAGAGATTAAGCGTCCAGGCGCGAGACTGAAGGACCTGGGTTAAAATCTCGTGAAGCGAGATCATGGATGGTTACTGCTGAGGAGTCCTGCATTAAGACGAAACGGCCATGCTGTGCTTCCAGGTTTTCAGTTGTGGTCTAACATCAATCGGTTCATGATCTCAATCAAAAAATAAATAACTTCTTAATTTAAAATTAATATCGCTTCATAATGAAATCTAACTTTTATCATTACAAACCTTTCAAATATAATAATTCCTCATTAAAACAGTATCTAACCAATAATAAGACAGTTTGGATATGATCTGAATAACTGAGAATGTTCTGGATGTAAACAAATTGAAAATTCGCAAATTGTTGTTAAAACGGTTGACAAAATAAGAGAATTGATCATTCGCTCACTAATGACTGATTTTAAGATGTATTTCCTGGAGTTCTAGTGAGAAACTGTGACTATTGGAGTCCGTTGTGAAGCAGTGACTCAATAAAGACAATAATGAACGATTGTGAAATTTTAGGGATTGGTTGAAGT